ATTAGAACATGTGCAGGGAAAAATCGAACCAGCAAACTGTTCACGCTGAACATGGGCAGAGGTAGAGCTGTCAGTACTTGTGTTTTCCTCCGGCGGACGTAGGCTCAAGCACTATTCCATTATTGCTGGCAACCTGCATGATTCACAGCGGCCACCTCATGCAGCAGCTGGATTAAACTGGCGGGCTATGCGGATGCAACACAGTATCCCGCCTATTTCAAAGAGCAGTACCCCAACCACGTCCAAGACACCCAAAGCTGCAGAGTGCAGAGACAAAAAGTTCCATCATCATCACACTAATGTCAGTTTCTAAAGACAGGAAAGATATGGAAAGAGAGAACTGGTGAGCTCACCGTAGTTCACCCACACCGGCCACCGTATCTTTGGAGGGGATAACGGGACGCGCAGGTAGCAGGAGTAGCCGACGACCACCACCACGTCGCCGTGGACCAACGACAGCTGCCTCCCTTCCTTACCTTGCCTCTTCAGGCATCTCGCCATTTTCGCAAAGTAGGAGGAGCTAGGATGCACTACGGTTCCAAAGTCTGAGCGCGTAAACGGATCGAGGATGGATGCAGGCAGCTAAGCACGGCCGCGTGGAGGGGCCGGCCGACCCGCGCGAGCCTTCCGCGCGCGCAACATGGCCTCTACGCTATGCCATTTCGTGGATTTCCCTGGGGAAAACGCGCTCCGACCGAAAAGATGCACCTGCGGCGCTCTGATTCCGGATGGAACTGGTGTGCCGTGTTCTCCAACAGCACGCAAAGCATGCATGCACATGAGATGAGATGCAAGCAAGGCTTCTCCCTTGACGCATGCATGCATGCGCTCGATCAGTCAGGCTAGCAAAACGGCGGGCCTGGCCGTCCACGATATCGTTCCCGCACGACAGCTCGAATATGTGCATGACGACGCAGCAATGCAGTCGAACCGGTTCAATTGGGCTTACACTGCTATATCAGTCTATCAGATCAGTCTCAAGTATGAGGACCAAAATACAGGTAGATAACGACTGTCATGACACTGCCGATGTCACTGAGAACAGAACAAAAATCATACTTCTTTCCCTAAAGAACAGCAGAAATGCATATATATCATCAAACTCCAAAACGTTCTGCACTACCACTTCACCAGAACGCATACACTCTTCATTGCGGAAATTTCACGCCGTCCAGAACAGTGCATTTCCCCAGAATATATAGATGATATAAATCTACTCTTTCTTCCCTATTGGAGCAAAATCAACATTCACAACTCAAATACAGAAAATTTGCCCTTAACGACATGCCTTCATCAGGAGAGAGATTTCTCCGGTAGCGATGCACGTGGGGCATATTCTCTTGAGTACAAAATCAACACTCATAATTCTATATATATATATACATCTTTAGACTTCTTTCTACTGAATAAGCTCACTATGCTAATTGCATATATATGCGCGTCGGCGCGCTCTATGATCCGTCCAACTGGCCATTAACGAACGGCTGATCGAACTGACTGCAGCTCTGAATGTATCGTGGCACTACCCCCAAGTTTCACCACTGTACGCATCCCGGACGAATTCTGCTCAGACGTTTAGAGATCAGTCGTAGTTCATGTAGGAGATGTTGATCGGGCCGCCGTCGTTCATGAGATGCGTCAGGAGCCCGGCTTTGGTCGGGTCGAGGTAGTTGAGGAGACGTTAACATCCAACACTTTGCATGACAATCGGAACATCTCTCTTTTATCTTCACGCTGCAGTAGCGCCTATAGCCGCAACCATTATATGGTCCTTTGAAAATAGCCTGTATAAAAGAAATATTATGTTTTTTTCTCAAAAATAATGTAATCACAAGTACACAAAATTGTCCAAATAATAGCAGCCGCCTCCACAAAAATCTGGTTTTTATCCTCCCTCCCAATGCCTGTGAGCCGGCCTCCAAGCATGGGAGTAGTAGATCTAGGTGGGGTTAACCCAGTAATGTAGTTTTCGGCCCCGTATGACTGGGCTCTCTTCGACTCTGGCTCCATGCTACAGTGCTGAAGGAGCTAGAGTCCGAGGCCTTTGCGATGAGAGAGAAAAACAGCTCATGTGAAGTTGAGTGAGTCGAGGCTAAAAGAATTCGTACCAAATAGACCCTTCGTATATATGTAAGCTAACACCTCATTTACAAACTCCATCATACAAAGTGCAGTTTTATTTTGTGTTGGGCCACAATATATTTCCTCTGTCCCGTAATCTTATTCTCTCTCCGTCGTCTTTTTCATGTGTTCTCTATCTTTTCGGTTCTCGCGCCAATTCCCATCCAGCGACGTGGTGACGGGCTGACGACGGCGCGGGTGGCAGGACTCAGGCGCGTAGGCGTGGCGGCCGCATCGAGCCAAGCGTGCAGACGTGCGGTGCGCGGGCTGGTGCCGAGCGGGCGAGTGGCCCTCGGGCGCGAGCAGGGCCACATAGCCGATATCCTCTTTCGCCGATGGCATGTGGGTAGCAGCGTGCCGTCGTCGCCACATGTAACGCATTTGCGATGCCCAGACCTCGGTGCTCTTCTTCAACTCGGAACTCAGGGCTTGATTTCAGCTTTTATTTATCTTACTTCTGTAGTTCTATCAACCAAAAGCAAGAAGCTAAAAAAAAACAGCGGTTGAGTTGACTTCAAAAGGCTGAAAAATCAGTCACGCTTTGAACAACTTTTCTAGCTTTTGGTACTTTGAAAAAACTAAAAAAAAACAATAGCGCAAGAAAACCAGTTTTCGAGTCAGAATTAATCCTAAAACCTTCAGTTTAAACAAATAAGCCCTCATGAAATTGATCGTTGTCGACGCCGCGTCGTGCTCGGCTATGATCCTCACCTCTCATCAGGGAAAACATATATGGCCGTGTCAGGATATCAACCTCCGTCCTGCAAGGGAACATGAGCCTACTGGATTTCTACCTCCGCCTATCGGCAAAGGTGCTAGTGCTACCTCACACATGGAAGCAAGGGAGGCAAGGGTCTAGGTTCAACTCCATGAGGTTCCGCTAGTGGCATGGAGGGGTTCTCGGCGACCAGTGGCGGAGCCAAGTTAAGGCCATGCCTGGGCTCTGGCCCCCCCTTTTCCAAGATCGATTTTAAAGAGCCCAGCTGTAGCACTTACACTAGCTATACACAAAGTTTGCTCCTGCTAATCTACGTAGGCGCATGTTTATAAGCAAGTCAAACTGATCTCAACCTCTCACATGTTGCTCTTCTCAATGCATCAGCCCTTATTACTTCTGTGTTGCTTATCGTTTGTGCAATCTAGACTCATAACCATATTAAGTTTTCTCGCTATCGCAACATGCACTTTCCGCAGCGCTTGCATGGTGGCAGTATGTATTCTTGTCAAACTTAGTTTGTTTTTGTTCACACAAGTTTTCAATACAACTAGTTTAGTGTCATTTAACTATTTAGCACGATCGTGAAATTGGCCGCCCCTTGGTTTTAAGACACACTCCATCACTGTCGGCGACAATTGTAGAGCTATCGGTACGTGGTCAGAAAAAAAATTCTGACCTTTTTTTTTTTGGCTAACAGGGCAATTCGAGTTCTAGTAGTGAATATTATTCTAAACTACTGCTTGGCACGTATAGAATATATTGTCCCCAAACACCATGTTGCTAGCTAGAAACCAAATATACGTAGTGCTTACGTGCATGGTGCATGACCAGTACGATATAGGACTACGTACTAGCTGACGCACGCTTTGGTAGATTATATTGTTGTACGTATTGTTTTGTGGCTATCGCGTGGCTTTGACAGATTATATATAGATCCAAGCACTTGTACGGTTGTATGACTTTGGCTCTTGCTGGATCGATCGGAAGACGCCATGCACATGCAAGTCGATGCATGACTACATTTCCTTGTCAAAGCGTGCATGCCAATGGGGATCCAAAACCGAAATGCAGGTAGCCATCGCAAAAGCCGATCGATCAAAACCATGCACGGCTACTACGTACGTACATGAGCAGACGTGGAATACCAGGTTGTGGCCGAGTTCGGTTGTATGACTTTGGCTCTAGCTTGTTGGATCGATCGGAAGACGCCATGCACATGCAAGTCGATGCATGACTACATTTCCTTGTCAAAGCACAAAGCATGCATGCCAATGGGGATCCAAAACCGAAATGCAGGTAGCCATCGCAAAAGCCGATCGATCAAAACCATGCACGGCTACTACGTACGTACATGAGCAGACGTGGAATACCAGGTTGTGGCCGAGTTTTCCAATGCGATCGAGGACAAGATGTTTCATACTTTGATTGTTTGTTCCTCTATCGATCTCGTTTCAATCCATCGTGCGTTACGTGGAAATTTCGGAGAGAGATATAGTAGTACCGTGTTGAAGAGACGCAGCATATACGATTTTTCAATTCGTCGTGTATATATATTTAATTTCTCTAACGTTACCTTGTTGCCGAGAGTAGCATGCACCCCTAGTCATCTAACATAGCCGGGATGTTATCCAAGTTCATAAAAAACTTCCAGAATGTATATCTAAACGCCATAAATTTACTAATCGTGTCATGTCAAGTCTAAATATAATCATCATGAGTCTGTCTACTACACAACCATGTGTTTTATGCAGTTTCAACACATGAATTTTTTTGCACCATAGGATTAAGATCCAACAGCCTCCACCCTTCTTCTACCTTCAGCCTCTGGCCTCCACAGATCACACATCACACATCACAATTTTTTTCTATGGAAGGACAAATCACAGATCCGCCGCCGCCGCCGCCACTGCCATGGCCGGCGCGGGCGCCGGGGCGAGCTCGCCGGTCACCGTCGCCGGTGCCGGTGGGCACCTATATAACGTGGTGTGCCACATAGGACCGTAGGTGACGAGGTTGAGCCAAAAAAAAGTTTGAAAACTATAAGGCCCACTTTGATAGTTCGTGAATGGCTCCTTACCACAAATAGCTCCTTATTTTGTCCTTTATTAGACCAACATATTTCTAAGCTTATGTGTTATTGACTGTTGTTGTAGGGGACTGCTCATTTACTTGGTGTAGTGGTGAAAGTGTGCACTGTAAGGTTGTGTAGCTGATCAATGATTCCATCATCAATCATGCAAGCTTTTCTTGAGGGATCAATCATGCAACCTTGGTAGAGTGCAAACATGTAGAATCCATTCTGCTGACAAAAGCACATCTCATGGCATAACATTTCATCAGAGATCCTCCATTGCAGGTACCCGATACCCCACATTGCTGATATGTCACTGTGTAGTTAGAATTGGAAACAATAAAAAAAGTCCTTTGCAGCTGTGTGTTGCGGAGAGATTAATTGCTTAGCATGGAGGAGGCAATATAGCAATAGTACTATCACATAGCAACTATGAAGAGTGAAACTGACGCATTTTGGTTAGAGAAACAGAGTTGCTATGGTTCACAAACTTGTGCCAATCCACCTATAATGGTGAACAAAAATTTGAAATGTTAACCTCGCTTCTTTTTGCAGAATTTAAGATCGAACTTAAGGAAGTAAAGTGGGATAACACATCAAACACTAAGATAAAAGGTGAGGAAAAACTACCTTGCTGCATTGAACATAAAGAAATTATAGGTTCAGCTGTTTGGGATGATACACTGAAATATTGGAAGAAGGATTTAGGTTATACAGTGTGTGCATATGAATACACACTCAAATTTATTTAAGCAATCCCAGCTCATTAGTTAATTCCTTGGCATCTGGATGACTTTAAAGTTCAATGCACTTTTTAAGGTCGCAGTTCTGTGATCTGGGTTTCACTCTTCTTGACTCGAATCTGTCACTACCATAATATCTATCGGTTGCATTTGCTATGCAAACATATAAATATACTAGCAAAATTACCCGTGCGTTGCAACGGGTGATGATAAAGACATATATAACATTACGATTAATTTCAAACTTCCAGAGCCAATAATCTATCCTGGCTGTATTCACGCCAGGGAGTTGGACTTATATATGTTTAACAAAACTCACACCAGGAGTTAGACTCGTCTGAAATCCTCCATAGCAGTCGCCTTCTGCTCCACGTTCTCTGGGCCACAGATCGGAACAGAGGTGCAAATTTAGAGTGCCTGACTCTTTTGCTGAATCGTCTATTCTGTAGGTCCAAGAATAGTTGTTCCAAGGAGTCTCAGGTGGGCGTAATGCGGAGCAGTGTGTGAGGGCGACATCATCCTTGCTTGTGCAGGTGTTATGCCATCATTTGAATTAGCATTACTGGCAACCATTTATTGTGGATTTACCTCCGGAATTATGAGCTGGTTACATACTCTGAGATTGGAATAGTGTATCGCAGAACCTGCAGTGGGATTTTCCTTTCTAAGAGAATAGTTATCTATATACAAAATGGTATTCCAATTTTCATGACGTCACACAACAAAGACATCTAGATGCCCTTTTAAGAGTTGTGAGCTCATGAAGTAAGATCTACAACAGCATTACAGCTGAACTGGGATCTAAAGTAACTAAGCAATCAGACATCAATCTTGTGCCCGGCCCGGTTTGTGAACTCGAAGTCCACGTGGACAAAGGCACGCAAGACCTCGAGCAGCTGCTCCAACTTCTCCTGCAGCGACTGACTGATGTCGTGTGCCTGGTTGAATGGCAGGTCACTGGTACTCCACGAAACAGTGCATGTCGAAGGTGTAGGCTCGCAGCGTGTCCATGTGCCAGATCTCCTCATGGTGGTTCCAGATCAGTTATGTGAGCTTCATCAGGTACTCCGCTGCCGGACTTGGACTTGCCAATCAGTGTGCCCACGTCAATCACTACTGGAGGCCGCGGCTTTGCCGAGTGTTTTTACACTCGACAAAGACTTTGCCGAGTGTAGCGCTCGGCAAAGTCCGCTCGGCAAAATTTTTCTCGGCAAAGGGTCTTTGTCGAGTGCTTTTTATCATGGCACTCGGCAAAATAAAAAACAATTTTGCCGAGTGCTTAGGGCGACACTCGGCAAAATATTTTCGGTCGTTCCACCGTTCACGGTTATTTTGCCGAGGGCCTGACCCAGCACTCGGCAAATTTTTTTTTTATTTTTTTAAAGATTACTTTGCCGAGTGCCCAAGTCCAGGCACTCGGCAAAGTTTTTTAATTATTTTTTTTAAAAATTACTTTGCCGAGTGCCCCTGTCCAGGCACTCGGCAATTTTTTTTTTTTTTTAAAAAATTTACTTTGCCGAGTGCCCCAGCCCAGGCACTCGGCAAAGAATTTCTGAATTTTTTTTAAAAAAATACTTTGCCGAGTGCCGCTGCCTAGGCACTCGGCAAAGTTTTTTTATTTTTTTATTTAAATACTTTGCCAAGTGCCCCTGCCCAGACACTCGGCAAAGTTTTTTTTTTAAAAAAATACTTTGCCGAAAAGGCCAAATTGCACTCGACAAAAGAATTTCTGGATTTTTAGAAAAACTTTGCCGAGTGCCTTGTCCATGGCACTCGGCAAAGACCCCGAGAATTGTAATTTTTTTTACATTCCATTGTAACAGATAATATATATATATATATATATATATATATATATATATATACACACACACACATCAATCATCACATCTATATCACCAACATGCATTATATATCACAAGCACACGCATATTTAATAAATCCATCGAAAATCCATCACAAATGCACCAAAGTTCAACATCACAAGTTTATTATTACAAGTTCGACATCACAAAGTTCAACATCTTTACTGCGGCGACGAAAACTGCTGGTGTGGCCCCCTGGACAGCGGTGAAGGACCGGACTGCGGCGAAGGGTTGACGTGATCACCACCGTGACACGCTTAGCGGGATTGTTTGAACCATGCGACGGAGGCTGCACAAAAGAGAAGAGATTGCATGTGTTAGACTAAAAATTGAAAATTTCGGCAGCACCTCCCCTGCACGGGGAGGTTTCCAACTTGCAAGAAACAACGGCACGAAGGCCGACAATCACAACGGCACGAAGGCCGACAATCACAACGGCGCGAAGGCCAAAAATCACAATGGCACGAAGGCCGACAATCCCAACGGCACAAACGCATTAAACTTCCATACTCACAGGAGTGAAGTGTCGAACCGGAGCTGGAGCTGTCAACTACACTTGGACACCCGATGCTTGCCCGATGGTTTGCATGATCTGATACATGTCCGCCATCTGCTTCTTCGTGGCCTCCAGCTCTGCGGTCAGGTGCGCGTGCGTCTCCCTTGTCTCTGCCAGCTCGGCCTGCAGTGTTTCAATCACATGTTTCAAAGATTGCAAATCTGATCAATGTGTGTAACGCTTCAATGTACGACGAGTGAAACCAGAATTACACGAAGTTCGTCGACCAGCGGCGATGTTGTTGGAGTAGGCCGTGCACGTATGGGAAGGCTTCGGCCGTGCTCCGTGCCCTCACGCCGGAGAGAGAGGGTGCAGAGCTCGAGGAGTCGGTGCCGTCTCGCAATCCACAACCGCCTGTGCTTCCTGCCTTGCCCCCACCTCACGATCACCTCTCTGTCTTAAGGGCTCGGTGCTCAGTTGTGATCTCGAGCCATGGAGCGCCTCTAACCGCCTCTGTGTAGTCTCTCGACCTTAGCGTGGACACTCGGGTCGAGTAAGCTCAAGCAGGGGGCATCCGGGTTGAAGACGACACCGATTTCACCGGGCCCATGTGGACACACAGCCCATGCCCCAAACTCCGACACCGGCACGTCCGGTGTGCCACCTCCTGCGAGAAAGACGGCAAGATGATTAGAAATCAGGCAAAATTGAGCGTTAGAATAGATAAATGACATCTCGTACAAGTGCCCGCTTGAATGCGGGGAGGTTGCGGCTGCCTTGGTGGTGAGTTGGAGCGGTCCTCGCTGCTCGCTTGCCTTGCCTTGCTCGTGCTTTATGATGTACGCCGGGTCAAGGTACTGTCCACGATCCTCGACCATGCCGATCTATGCGACATGCACCACGAGGCCGGCACCTACACATCATCAAGTGTTTGACATATAAGAAGATCAATTCTGGACCTACTAAATCTCAAAACGAATTAATATTATTCACCTACCTGAAGGTACTGCTCCTTGGTCAGCGCCACATTTCTTGCGCCGGTTTTGTTGAGGGGCTCTTTCTTGATGGACCTGTAGTAGTCGACGTGGGCCTGGAGTCGCGCCTCGTGAATCATGTCGCCGACGTACTTCTTACAGGCTCTGTGTGCCGTCTGATCCGCCAGGGTCTCTCTACCTTCTTTGGCCTTGAAGTACCTCTGCATACAAACACGATGTATCCGTTCATTATTTCAATAAAAGACTTAAGCAATAGAGGAGATGTATTGAGCTATGTTGTGAGACACTTGCCCAAAAGTCCACCAAAACCCGCTCACCTTGTTGTCCCCTTTCGTCATCCGAGCCGAGCTTGTACTGCCCCACGCCCAAAGCCGGCTCCCACCTCCCCTCTTTCAAGTCCACAAGGCCGGGGAAGTGTTTCCTGCACAGACATCCCAGGACGGTAGCGGGGGTGCGTGGGGGGTCAAGAGCACCCGACAGAACTAGCCAGCCCCTGCACAAGTGATTACGAAAAATTATCAGTTTCTCTTTTGATTTTCAACGTATCATATGAAGTACTAGTGATAACATCTATAGTTACTTACCTTCTTCCCATAGGACGAACCAGTGGGCGTCGGTCAGGAAGCGGAATCGGAGGAAGGCTTGTGGGACCTCGCAGGTAGGGAGCCGAGAAAGCAGAACTGTCCTCCGTCTGCTGAGCCCCCTCATCCCCCGACGGAGTGTCTGTGGTCGTGCCCGTGGCCGCCACGTGCTCCTCCGGGGTAGGAGACGGGTCCTCCGGCTGGTCGAGAGCCGGGGGAGGAGGCGGGTCCCTCCTGGGGCGACCCCGGCCCCCCTCCCCCTCCCCGTGCTGGGGCGACCCGGGCCTGCTCTCGCCGCTGGGGGCGAAGACGTCCCCTCGCCTCCATCAGGAGGGCGTAGCCTCTGGTACACCGAGAGCACCTGCCTCGGTGAACGGTTGCCCACCATCTTTGTTCTGTCACCTGCAATGTACAAAGAATGAACAACAAGCGTTAGTACATACATGTCAAATAGTTCAAAATGAATAAACATAACAAAATTTAATAAAAAACATAGTATTACATGGTTTAGGAATAATCTTCATGATTGGGGTCATAGGTCTCATCATCACTGTCAAAATTGTCCAAATGGGCAACACTATTCAAAGGTTCTGTGTCTTCTTCATTGTCTTTGCCTAAATGGA